AAGCTCGAGGGCTACTGTCGGGTATCGATATTAGGGATACCCAAAGCAAGGAAGTTAGCGTCCACACTGACTTCCCTGGATGACTCGAGATGTATTAAAAGGTCTGGCCCGACCCCAAGGCCACGGGCTCTGTCTCGCCTGACCCCAAGGCCAAGGGCTCTGTCTCGCCCGACCTCGAGGCCGCAGGCTCCGTCTTGCCCGACCCAAAGGACGCGGGCTCCGTCTCGCCCGACCTTAAGGCCGCGGGCTCCGTCTTGCCCGACCTCGAGTCCGCGGGCTCCATCTCGCCCAACCCAAGGACGCGGTTTCTGTCTCGCCCAAGGTCACAGGCTCCGTCTCACCCGACCTCGAGGACGCGGGTCCTGCCTCGTCCGACGGGGACCCATACCGCCGCCAATCACTCTAGGTCCAAGCGTTTGGGCCTGGGTCAAAACTCTGACGTCAGGAAAGAGGCTGGCACGCCACGATGTAACCCGTGGCCATGACAGGCCATACCTAGGGATTCACATCAAGAATAGTGTCGAGTGTGCCCGTGCTGTTCTGCCTAATCCTCGTACGGACGCTGACAGGCGCGTTAGTTCACCACGACGTTCGCTGAGACGGAGTGGAACGCCATGACCGGCAGATGACGCCTGCGCATGGCGCCAGTGACGAACAGGGCTACGACATGGAGTCATCCCTGTTGACATCTACAGGATTGGTGGGACCCGCATGAAGGAGAAGAAGGACACGGTAACCCTGGAAGCCTTCTTCTCTCTCGTTCTTCTCCTTTTCCTCCTTTGTAACCCGCGCTTTCCCTTCGCCTATAAAAGGGGAAGCAGGGCGCCCCACGAAAGGGGGAGATCTAAACACAAGAGCACAACACGAGCACACGGCTGAGCGGCAAGCGAGCTCTCAGCACCTGTTCACTCCTTCCACCAGAGACTTAGGATCCTCTCCCTCTCTTGCCTGTTTATAACCCCTATTGCAAACCAAGTGTCGGTAACACGAGTAGCTACGAACTAGACGTAGGGACGTTCCCTCTGAATTGGTATAAACGCTTGTGTCCTCCGAGCACACCATCCGAGCTAGACGCGCAAATACAAATTTACTCGTCGGTGGTCCGAAAACACCGACGGGTGGGGTCTTTGAATTGTAGCAGAGAGCAAAATACCATTCATGTCTCCAACGACATTTTTCCGCTTGGGTTATTTTTATGTTTATTTCTTGTTAGACTTTGACTCTTGTTTGTACAATACTCGTCTGGGTTTGCATTCTCCTTTCTAGTTGAGCGAAGCAGCTCTCTGGTTAGATCGTCTAAAAAAGTCGAAACCTATATGTCAACACTGGGTAAGGAATGACTTGGCCCTAACCTCTGGCCAATGGTACGTGCACACACAACTAGTGCTTGAGCACAACGACCATTCATGAACAGAAGCGTTGATTGCAGTGATATGTCTATAGACTATAGTTGCACGTGCCTGTTTGGGGATGGCTCCTCCTTAAGGTGCTTCTCCAAAGGAGTTGGAGGGAGGAGCTACAAATTAAAGCTACGGCTCCCCTTCCTTGAATAAAAAATGGCTCCTTTTGAAGTGTTTTTTATGGTCCCTTCATTGAATCTGTTGTTGAAGCAAGAGCGGGAGCTATGCTTGAAAAACCCAAATAAGTGTTTGGTTTAGGTACCACGAGGGATGGCTAGGTCCATCCCATTTCCACGTGAGTAACTGAGTATGGCTTTTGGTAAAGCTAGGTCAATATACTCCTCTATAAAATATATCGGGAATACACCCTCAAATGGAGGGGACCCTGTCCCCCTGAGAACGTGCGAACATGCATGTCCTCTTTCGAAGTTGTCATATCTCTGTTGTATGCGCACGTGATAACGATGATGCGACTGAACTCGATGACCGCAATAACGACTCCTCCAACAACACATCTCTTTTGGTATTCTTTGATTTCATAACGGCGCGGAGGCAAGTGAGGGCAATAGCGGTTGGGCAAGGGTGGCGGAGGCAATGGGTAGGGCAAGTGAAGGGTGGTGGCTAGCTTAGAAGCATCCATAGCTGGTGAGGGTGGCCGCTCCAAGCGAGGTCAGCTGTCATCACAAGGTCGGTCGTTCCAGGCGCGGTTTGAGGCATAAGGGGCAAGCCGATAGTGTGGTCGGCTGATGCAAGCGGCGCTGAGGGACAACGGATACACGTGGCAGGGGTGGGTAGTGGACGAGGCAAGCGGTTGCGGTGTACGGGGGCAAAGGGCAGAGGTAGGGACTAGGAGAAGATAGGTAGGATGACACGTGGATCCATAGATGAAATATCCCGCTCACATATAATCATTTAGGGTGTGTTTGGTTGCTTGATATCCACAGATAGGATGGGGCCATCCATGGATATGTAGTGTTTGGTTGTATGGATGAGTTTGATAGGAATATCCACAAGAGATAAATATTCTCACGAGATGTTGGAGCAAGTGGATACAAAAAATCTACCGGATCTGCTCATCCAACTTGGATGGCATGGCTGCGGCCGACGTGGCAACAATAATTAATGAATGCAAACAACCTTCAAACGATTTTATCTACTAAACTATTTATCTGATTTATGATATGATTACATAGTTGTATTCGTTGCAATTAAATCTACAAAACAAGATCTCAGATGATTATATTTTGGTTAGAATTAAATAAATGACAAGTGGGTCCCGCATGACATCATCAACCTATCCATCCTGTTCCATCGAACCAAATAGAAAAATGACGCGTCTGGTCTCATCCCATCCGACAGATATCCATCCAACCAAAAAAAAATGACCCGTCCCATTTATCTAACTAAACAGCAAGTATGAATAACTATATCCAGAAATCCATGGATGGCCATATCCTATCCAACCTTGTCCTCGAACCAAACGAACCCTTACTGGCTGCACCAAAATTACTGTTATCTTTTTTTTTCCTATGCCTCTAAGCAAAACAAAAGGACAGAAAGACCATATCCCTATATCAATAAGCAAAATGGAACCACCCCAACCCAGAAAACATGAACAATTTGTGATATCCATCCTAGTGTCTCTAAACAAAACAGATGCACTAGGCGCTAGCTTGTGTGTGCCAGTGCAACAGCAGCCACATCGCTGCACTGCCACACAGCTCGTGTCAATGGCGGCACGCTCATCGCGTGCTCCAAGGGCTCGGATTGACAGACGGCCGCGACCTCACCTCCGCCACCCACCCCACCCGCAACCGCGCAGCCGCATTCATTTTCTCAGCGAGTTCAGTCCAACCAGCTGTCCCTTCGCGTCCTCGCGTGGCCCCCGGTCCAGCCCAGTCAGCAGCAGTGCAGTCCTAGACACGCACGCCTCAGGAGTCAGGCCAGTAGTGCATGCAAAATATGCAGTGCAAAGCGTCGTAGCAGCAGCATCATATTGTCCGGTGGCGAGCGAGCGCTTTGCGGAAAGGCCCGAACAGAAACGGGGTAGGGGTGGTAGGCACGGCCGGCGGCGGCAGGCTCGACCGAAAAAACAAAGCCTAAACGTCCGCATCGTGGCGTACAACAGCGTGCCGCCGTGCGTGTACCACCGCCCGCCCCGGCCCCGGCTGGTCCTAGAATAGGATAGCCACTCCACCCGTCGTGCCGTGCCACGCCGGGGAAGGGATGCACGGGATCCGATCGGAAAGCGCCACGCCACCGCGGCAGGCGGCATCGACGACGCACCTCCTCCCTTTTCCGTCCCCAACTTGCGGCCAAGGCGAACCGAGCCACAGGATGCGGCCTCATCGGGAACCTTATCTCCAGCGCGCGCGGGAGAGGCACCTGCGCCACGCGCGCACACACCGGCTGCCCGCGCGCCGCGCCAAGGATGATGGCATGCCCCGTAGGACGAGAGCGGGGGCAAAAGCGCGCCGGGTGGAGAGGGCGCGGAGGAGGCCAGGGTGGGGGTGGGTGCGTATCCGCGCGTACTCGCTCGCTCGTCTCTCTCGTCGTGTGGGGTAACTGGCCGACTGGCCGTGGCCTGCCGGTCTTCATCTTGTGCGTAGCGCGGGGACTCGTGAGCGCAACACAACAGGCTGCCGGCTGCCCTGCCCACCGGTCCTCCAGCGGTGGCCGAAACGAAAGGACACCTCGGAAGCGACAAGCGCGCGGCATGGGTGGCGCTCAGGTTGAGCCCACGCCGAGTCACGCAGCTCTCGCCGCGCCGGGGGTAATCTGGACTCCCTGCACAATGCAGGTGCTGCCTGCCAACCTGTCACAATCAGATACTAGTGCTGGCTAACGCACTAGTAGTGCTAAAACAAAACATAGAGCAAAGTCTAACGATGCATCGGACATAATTAATTATTAGATACACAAGTGTGTTGACACAATTACACCCACGCCCGTGCACAAACGATTTCCTGCACATAAACTACTATTACTAACAACAAACAGGAACAGAACCAGTCCAATGGCACATCAGATCTAGTTGCATGCTATATAGATTAGATTATTATATAGAATATCAATTTATTTATTGTTTACTGTTCCACGCCCTGCCCAAAAAAGGAATCTTTGATTATCACCACGATCACGGCATAAGTATCCAACCGCATTAGTCAAACAACACTCAGCTGCACGACCTCCATTCTGCAATCGCACTACCATCAGTCCATCACAAGCTCGGAACCACTTAAGCACTCGAACCAAAACACAGTAAATGAGGCGATGCGCACAGATATCACGAAACTTATTTTTCTTTCATAGCTTAGTAGCAACAGCTCAATGACTTGTCCACTATAATGTCTCGACAAGCATTACCAAATAACACAGGAAAACCGAACACAGCCACTATAACTTATCATAATGTAACCTACTACCAAAATTACCTCTCTCCGGCCGCTAATGTGCAGTTCGAGAACAAGAAATCTCTTGGGCACGAGCAGATTGAATTGCCCGGGGAAAAAACCCAAGATAATCCACCTTCCAAGCACACTCAGAGGCCCCGATTTATCAAACCAACAACCCTAACACAAATTAAGCTCACTCCTTAATTCACACGCAGAAATCAACAGTTTGCAGGAAGTCGTCCATGCCGCGGCCGAGGTCGCAGCCGGACAACTCCGGGAAGACGTCGTTGATGTCGTCGAGGTCGAGGTCAATCTCCAGCTCCTCATCCCCGAAGTCCCCAAGCAGCAGATCCTGTTCGTCGTCCAGGCAGAAGGCCGCATCGGAGACGTCCAGAGCGTCCAGCCCGGCGCGGAAGTCCATCGGGTCGATGTCGGGCAGCTGCAGGCCGCGCAGAAGGTCCTGGTAGAACTCGGGGTCGTCCGGCAGCTGCGCGGATTCAGTCGACGGCAGCGGCAGGTCGACGGGCGTTGGTGTTGCGACCGGCTCTGGAGACTGCGGGTTCGGCGCTGCTGCCTTGGTGGATTCGAGCACGGACGACGGCGACGGGTGCGCGAATGGAGGGGTCGAGGTGGACGACGAGGAGGACGCCGTCGGGGTAGCGCTTGCCGAAGTAGCTGGTGATGAGGTAGCGGCGGGCACGGGCTGCCCGCGGCGGCGGCGCTTCTCGTCGGCGAAGCTCCGGGAGGCGGAGAGGTAGGCCGCGGAGGCCGCACCGGCGGTGTCGAAGGTGCCAAGCCACTGCCTCTTGCCGGTGAACGGGTTGCGGATCTCCGCCGCCCACTTGCCCCACTTGCGGAGCCTCACGCCGCGGTAGCTCTCCGGCGCCCCGCCGCTGGTGCACGCGGCAACTGTGGCCGCCGGAAGAACCGGCTTGGATGGAGCCTTGCCGATGAACGCCTCAAAAGAGAAGCGCTTGGTCTTTCCTGCAGGGCCCGTAGGGGCGCAGGCCTCCTCGTCGTCGGAGTCCGAGTCCGTGGCGTCAGGGTCCTCAAAGAGGACACGGACGCGGCGCCTTGGCTGGACCGTCGCCGGCGGCAGCTGCTGCGGCCGGGACTTCAGGATGGCAGCTGAGGGTTTAAGGCCAAACCCGGACATCCGCTTGGTAGTGTTGGGCTTCTTCGCCAGGGCCTTCTTGATAAGAACCTGGTGGTGGTTCAACGGAGCCATCTCTCTGTCTCTCAGCCGGAGAGAACTCTTGCCAAAATTGCCAAAACTAAGGGGAAAAACTTCTAAAGAAAAACAAGAAACTTTCTCTGGGTGCAAAAATTTGACGGAGCCGAGCGCAAATCGGTCGAATCCGTCAGTCTCCTCGACAGAAGCCGCAAGGCCTTATGTGGAGGAATCCGGAATACTTCACCCCGAACCCGTCGCTGCCATCACAAGAAGAGATTTTTTGTCAAAACCCCATGAAAAGACCAGCCAAGAACTCCCCAGATCTGGACGAACCGGGCCATAAAAACCGATCAAAACCTCCCAGATCGGTGAAAACATGAATGTTTTGCGGGTGAAAAACGAGGGGGGAAAAGAAGGGGGCATAGACCTGAGCATCGACGAGGATTTGTTCCAGCCGTTGAGCCCCTTGCGCATAGATCGGCTAGAGCAGGCGAGGGCGCGGAGGAGGACGGCGACGACGGCGACGATGAGCGCTACGACCACCACCAGATCGGAAAAGGGGCAAGAAGACATATACGTGTGTTGTCTGCTGCTTCTTCTCCGACGCCGGCGCCCGTCGTCGTCGCCTCCGGCCTCCCTCACACGCGCTTAAACCCCAACCCAGAGCGGCGAGAGCAGCGAAAGGGGTTGGCCACGCCTCCGCCGCCGATATTTAATCCCCTTCCACATCCAGGACGTAGTGCCCGCCGCACCACGCGAGACCTCGCGTCACGCGTCCGGATCCAGCCGCACACACTGCCGAACGGACCCAAGTTTGTCCTGGACCCACGCGTCATTGATGATTATCATGTTTTTGAAACAATTCATTGATGATTATCTGATCAACGGAAAGGCGAGAAAAGGACGGCCGCAATACGCTGGCGCGGGACGTACTACAAAGATCTGCCGAATGCTGTTTGTTACGCACACAGTGACTTGTGGACCCAGAGTACTGTTGGCCCCACAGTCAGTATGGAACGTGCTGGTTTTCCTAGTGAAGGACTATTCCGTGCCATCGCTTGGAAACTTGCTCGAGTTGAACCTGACATGTGGGCCCATGTTATTTTGTCCCCACCTATCATTGAGATAGGGATGGAAGCCTAATGGTGTGGTTTTGGTGGGGTTTATGAGATGTGAATGGGCGACGAGAGGACGGCAATGGAAATGATAAACCTTCGCCTACACGCCTCGCACGAATATCCTGCCCTCTCATTGACCGCTGTGACCCACAGACTATTGGGCCCACTTCACTGCGGACCGAGCAGCCCATGACTTCCGGATCCGGGCGATGCGTTCCCTCCGTTGGTCGAGGGGAGGGGATTGCGATTCCGATCCTCTGGCTGAAATCCCACACCTCACCTCCCGCGTGACCCGCTCAGCATTTACCAAGACCGTCAGTTTGTAAATACAGTAATTACCACATTTAGAGGCCACAATTTTACGGGGGTAAATAAATGGCGATTATATTATAACTACTCCAGTAGGGATAAATAGCATGGCTCCATTTCATCAGCCCAGCTAAAGCTGTGCTTAACCTGTCCAGCTGTCCTGGTCTAGATATATGCCATGTTCGTTCGAACTTATTCAGAACTATTTTTTAATAATGAATAATATTTTTTCTCATAATATTTCAGGATAAGCATCAGCATAAATCAAATTTCAGCATCAACGGGTTGCTAGAGGTGGACGTGACCGTGCTGGGATAGTTTTCACGCATCCTTGAGGGCCAAGCTACTAAGGCCCCATTTAGTTTCCACCAAAATTCAAAAAATTTTGCGATAGTACCCGTCACATCGAATCTTGCGGCACATGTATGGAGTACTAAATGTAGACGAAAAAAAAACTAATTACACAGTTGACCGAGAAATCGTGAGACGAATCTTTTAAGCCTAAATAGTCCATAATTGAATAATTTTTGCCAAATACAAACGAAAGTGCTACAGTATCCAAAAAGCCAAAATTTTCGAACTAAACACGCCCTAAAAAGGAGCGATAAAACAGAATGGAATATTTTGTTTTCCATTCCAAAAAGCGAAGCCAAACGAAAGGCCCACGGGGGGATTTGGTGCCGTTGGGCTTTTTTAAGGTGCCGCATGTGACACGTGTACAAGTTTGTGCTGGTATCTCGCCATTTGACGCTCTCTCTTTGGCTGATCGATGCCGTCGTAGCATTATCATGGATTTATCGAAAGATAAATAGGAGCATCTAGTGGGGAAAAACCCTGATGCGTGACAAAGAAAATAGAGTCCTAAATGTTAACATCAGTTTGTGAAGTTCATCTCCTCCCGGTACGATACGGAATCCAAGGATGCCATGTCTGCACCAGTGCACCGTGCCTGGGATTCACATGGCGAGTGTTATGCTCTGCTCGTACGTGCCGCACTTGGGCACTTGGGAAGATGGAGCTCGCGGGGGGGCAGAAAGGGAAAAGGGTGACGGACTTTTGGCAACGCGACGTGGAAACCGAATTTTTTATTTTTCAGCTTTTTTAAAAAAATATTCACAAATATACCTACAGTGGTTTGATTATCGTTTATGTACGCTGATGTCGGCGTCATGGCTTTTGTCACCGAGAAAACACGTCTCGATACCATGACCAATGGCGCCGAGGTCTTGGCGAAGCGTCGGACGTGGACAAGGCATCGGCGCCATAGATCTTGACGTCGAACTTGGCGCTGTAGATCTTGACGCCAAATTATTACCCTATAGATCTTGGCGTTTGAAATGAAACAAGTATAATTATTCCGAGGAACATGCAACAACGTCATTGTTGTTCAACTGGTTAGGATACACGCGACTCGGTTTAAAGACCTGGGTTCGAACCTTAGCGCTGAATCTTTTTTTCTATATTTTTATAAGCAATAGAACAAGAAAAATTATTTCAAAGAACATGCAATGACCCTATTGTGGTCCATTTGGTTTGGATGCACGGGTCTCAACCCACAGACCTGAGCTCGAACCCAAGCAGCAAATATTTTTTATTATTTTTTTATTTTTTTATGCAATTACAACAAGAAATATTATTCATTTATTATTAGTGTCCTAGGTTTCACCGCACACAGTATATTATTGTTCCATTGTTTCACCATACACTGTACATTTTATTTATTTTTTATTTGATTTTGAAACATTACGTACCTTGATCAAGTTGAGTTGAGTGACGTGTTTATATATATATGGTTGCTTGGCCGTCCTTTTACTTATATGCATATGGTTTTTGTCATCATATATAAGTTGAAGGCTTTCGAGACGAGGAGTAAATAAATAAAAGAATTTTTTTACATTAAGTAAGTGTAATTTTCTTTGCTTCCCTATTCAGTGTTGAGCTCTTTAATTTGCATACCTCCATATTTTACATAAAATAGAATTAACAAAAAGAATGGGCTTAATGTATTAACTAAGAGCTCCATATTATCATCATTTTGACTGTTCAACTAAGTTTGGTGAGAAACGGTGGAGGATCTCCCCTCATAAGAAAAACACTACAACCGAGGTATCTAAACTAATAAATAAATAAATACATCTATGATTATGATAATATAAGGAGGATTTAGATTTAGATAATATATAAATAAATGTACCTTGAGATGTATCTTTCATCCAAAACAAATTACAAATTATTATTCTCTCATATTAATAATAACAAAGTTTGGTGGAACCCCAGTAATAACAAGTAAGCAAAAAAATGATTAATAAATGCAGCAAACAAAATTTGCCTTCTGAATTTGAACCTAGGTCTCATATTAGTGTCAAGCATCCTAACCAACTAGACCACAACCGAGATATAGCATATTTCTCAAAATAATTTTTCTTGTTCTATTGCTTATAAAAACGTAGCAAAAATAAATTCAGCGCTGGGGTTCGAACCCTGCCTTTGAGCTAAGTCGCGCGCGTGCTAACCAGCTGAACCACAATGACGTTGTTGTATATTTCTCGGAACAATTATACTTGTTTTATTTCAAACGCAAAGATCTATAGGGTAATAGCTCGGCGTCAAGATCTACGGCGCCAAAATCTATGGCGCCAAGACCTTGTCCACGTCGGCACTAGGTCACCATCACGTCCGACGTCTTGCCAAGACCTCGACACCATTGATCATGACGTCGAGATATGTTTCCTCGACGCAAAAAGCTATGGCGCCGAGGACATGATCCATAAACGAAAATCAAAACGGCTGGATCTATCTGTGAATATTAAAAAAAGCTGAAAAATAAAAAATTCGGACGTGGAAACAGCCAGGACGCAATGCGCGGCTGGCGGCCGCCGGGCCGGCCTTGGACGGACCCTTGCGCCGCGCGGCGCGGCTGGCTCGCCGAGATGCGTGCCCGTGCGGACGCGTCCCTTGGCGGCCGCCACGCAGACCAAGGGCGCGTGCCCCTGCCCAGAGGCCGCAGAGCGCGCTCGGCGGGTCACGCGACACGCGAGCGCGGGAAATAATGACAGTAGACTCCTGTGGGGGCCGCGGCGGAGTCGTTGTCGGTTGGTGCGCCCAAATTGACTATTCGGATATCTTTTTTTCCCTCCTTTCCGCACTCTCGAGGCGTGCCGCCGTGGCCCGTGCCCGTGCCCGTGCTGCTGGGGCCCTGACTGGGATGCAACGGCTCGTGCGATATTTATTTTGTTCGGCCAGATATTTTCCAGAAATCATTTCTTTTCCCCTACGAAGTAGTACGAACTGTAGCGGCGGTGGATGCTAAAGACATGGCGGTTGTGCGTGCGTCGAAAAGGTTTGCATGGGCGTGGCGCGAGCGACGCCGGCGGCGAGCTACACGTATGCGCGCACGCCGGTCGCATGCCTGCCACGTTACACCGGCGCAGCTGCGGCGCACTTGGACCGCCCGCCGGCTCTCGTGCACGAAGCCTTTTTTTTTCTCTGTGCCACTATTGCAAAATTTGTTTAGTAGAGTCCTCACCAACTCGAAGCACCACTAATTTGTTTAGATCCTTTTTTTGTCGTCCAGTCGTGTGGCCTGTTCGTGCTCGGCGGGAAGCGGTGGCTGGTTCCCGCGCAAAG